AGGCATGATTTTTTTTTAAGCAGCGTATATCTGGTTTCCTTAGGTGGCAAGTAGTAGTAGAGTACTACTCGAATACGAATAGTAGGTTAGAGACTTAAGTGATAGAAGCGGCAAGGTAGAGACAGAACATTGACCTTTTGGTTATGGCGACTCGGTTCACAGCTTTGTCCTCACTTATTTCACGTTGTCCGTAATCGTAAGCTGTAAGAGACACGGTCTCGGAAAGGTAAGATGATACGCGTTACGCGTATGACTGACAAACAAGAAGATCTTCTGCATAATATGGGAGAATTTTAATAAAAAAAAATGATAAGTTACTAGATGAGTTTTGCTTATTGTCCACATTTATGCAAGAAAGGCATGTGTCAAAAAAATTAAGCACTGAAGTAATAAATAAAGAAGTTATGTTTTTCTTTAATGAAACACCCTATATATTTTCACTCGATTAAATACCTATGTAGGTTCGGAATTTATGGGTTAATTCCACACCAAATATCTAAAAATCAATAATTTGAAATAAAAAAAATTAAAAATAAATTTTAACTTGAAAAAAATTAATTTGTATTAAAAATTTTTGCTTCTTTATATAATAAACTTATAGGGTATTTTCTTTATTTCTTCAAATTTATTTTTCTGAAGTATATCTAGTGAATGCACCCCATCCTAGTGATCCACTTTCGACAAGAATTTGATAGACATAGAATATTTTCATTTGTGGTTAAATGAAGTTGACAAATATTGCAATCTTATTATTTTTTTAATTTGAGTTTATTTAATTTGATAGTAAATACCTATTCGGTACACTTCATATCAACATATATATGAAAGTTAATTTTACAGCTAAACGGGAGAGGATGGGAACGCTGTATCGTGTGTATTTCGTGGAATGTTAAGAATGTTAATTGCTATATTATTAATTTTAATTATAATTATAACTGGAAGGATATGGTACAGTCAGGCCACGCAGATGCAAGGTTGTGTTTCAATAGAAACATGAATGAATGAGTCAAACTAAAAAACTAATTTTGCAAATTTCGCCATTTGTATTTTCGAAGAAATACTGAAATCATGGAAAATACGTATCACTAGTTGTTTTAGAAGAAATTGATTTATCTAAATTAATCCTAAGATTTTTATTACAAATGAGACTTTTTAATTTTTCATGACTTTCTATAAACTGAGTTAAATGTCTTCAATCGTTAAATCCGTCCTCAATAAAGGCACTAGAAAAACTTTTAAATCATTTACAAGGAAAACAAAATACATAATCTTTAGCCAAACTCTTGGAATTATTTCTTCGTTACTTAGTTTTCCTTATAATAAATAGATAAGAAACAAAACTTTTTCTCATGTGTATAAATTTTTTTGAAACATACTGTGCAATATATTGCGTCGTAATAGTAAAATGTATACAAATATTGTTGTTAACGACGTGCTCTTTGAGCACGTCGCATTTCATTATATAGCGCGTCTCAAAAAATCTATACACATGAAAAAAGTTTTATACGGAGTGGCCCAAAAGTCTGGAAACGGTCAATTATCTCGTAAATTGCTAATCCTAATTCTACAAAATTTGGGGTACACCTATTTTGGGATACGGAAATTCCAGATTTGATATTTGCAATGTTGTCAGATTTGTCGTTTTTCTTATATTATTAGTCACTTTAGTTTTTCAATTTCATCACCATGTATATTCAGTCATTATTGGAATCTCCTATTCAATACGAGTTCAACTATATATGTAACACTTATGATTTTATGTAGTCTGAAAGGTCTTAAATAAATAAAACAATCATGATGAAATGTGGTAGACGCATTCTACCATCGATTAAGGTACTGTCAACTAAGGCTGGTAACCGTGACCGGTTAACCGGTTCCATAGGACCAAAAACCGTTAAAGAATGTAAGCGGTTTAACCGTAACCGGTTTAACCGAAACCGCTTTTTATCCGTAACCGGTGTAACTTTAACCGAACTGGTTAAACCTGTTACTTGTTGAGCCGTAACTGATTTAACAGTACCCGAAACCGGTTTTAGCGAGACCGTGAACGAAAACAAACAAGAATAGTTTGAGCTCTTAGTGGGGATGCACATATTTCTTAAAACGTCGATACTGGCATGGAATGATATACCAAAAACATTAAAATGACCGAAGTGAAAAAAACTATTTTTAAAAACTTATACATTTAAAAGTAGGTAAAACAAAATGAGACTGTATTTTATAAAAAAATACAAACAAATATAAACATTCCAAATGTAATATTAAAACAAAGCAAAACTAAGAAAATTATTATCTATATATATATAAAATTGTTTGTCCTGACTGACTGACTGTCCTATCAACCTACAGCCAAAACTACTGAGCCTAGAAAGCTGAAATTTGGAATATAGGTTTATTTTATAACGTAAGCATCCGCTAAGAAAGGATTTTTCAAAATTTTAACTTTAAAGGGGGGAAATTGGAGGAAATGGGAGGAAGGAGCTTTTATTGAAACTCTTTGTTCTTTTAAGTTAGAAACATGAAAATTTAAATTACAGCTAATAAACATAAATAATGACGTGTTTTAGGGTTTTTCGATTTTCAAATTTTAAGGGAGGAAAACGAGGGGTGAAAGTTTGTATGGGACTATTGATTTTTTTGTTCTATTTGAAGTTAGAAACATGAAAATTGGAATTGCAGCTACTGACTACAAATTATTAATGACCTGTTTCAGGGTTTTTGGATTTTCACATTTTAAGGGGGGGAAATGGGGGGTGAAAATTTATTTGGGACTTAAATATTCTGGAAGTACTAGTACTCTTTGGAGCCACCTGACAAGCCCAGTTTCAGAAGAATTTGACAAACGATTTCATTTAAAAGATACCTTGATAGATAAGTTTGAAAACATTTCAACTGCAGACTTTATTTCCAGAAGATTCTGGACCTAGTAATTATCTTTCGGAAATGGAGGAATACAATTCTAAGATATTATTATGAAAGGATCAAAATCCATTAACTTGGTGGAAAAACAACGCGAATAAATACTCGTTATTGTCGGTGTTGGCTGAATCCGTTCCGGTTCGATCAGCTCGGTTTGATGGAACCGGTTAACCAGACAATCAGACTGGTTAACCAGATAATCTGACCGGTTAACCGGATAATCTGATTGGTTGACCGGATATCCGGATCGGTTAACTGGATATCTGGACCGATTAACCGGATAATCGGACCGGTTAACCGGATAATCGGACCGGTTAACCGGATATCCGGACCGGTTATAATAATAGTAAAATCCGGTTAAAACCGAAATCGGTTAAAATCAGTCGAACCGGTTAACCGTTTATCACGTCAGGAATTGACAGCCTTACTGTCAACTCACAAACGGAGCACATTTTGAACACTTGATAAAGTAACCGTTATGTTAAAAATGTAATCTTTCAATTATTACGTTTTAATGTAGTTGTAAATAGTTTGTACTAAAGACAATTAGGCGTTGCCAGACTTCTGTTTTATTTATTTAAGACCTTCCAGGCTACATAAAATCATAACTGTGACATATGGTTGAACTCGTATTGAATGGGAGATTCCAATAATGACTGAATATACAGGGTGATGAATTTAAAAAACCAAAATGACTAATAATATAAGAGAAACGGCAAATCTGGCAACATTGCAAATATCAAATCTGGGATCTCCGTATCCCAAAATAGGTGTACGTCAAATTTTGTACAATTAGGACTAACAATTTACGAGATAATTGGCCGTTTCCAGACTTTTGGGCCACTCTGTATATTATCAAGTGATGCAGAACTTTTTATCACTACCGTGCGTAATATACTTTTTTCACTAGTGCGTAAAGTGAAAAAAGTTATTTTAGTGAAAAAAAGTAACTTTTATATTTCTAATATTAGTGGATAATGTGTACGGTAGTAGAAAAAATATTGTATGCAACTCGTGTGTAAGATCCCTTTTTTGATTCACATTCGTCAAAAAAGAAAAACTTTACACACTTGTTACATAAATAATATTTTTTAAAAGACGAAACTTTTTCTCATGTGTACATTTTTTTGGAACATACTGTGTAATATATTGCGACGTTAATAGTAAAATGTATTCAAATATTGTTGTTAACGACGTGCTCGAAGAGCACGTCGAACTTTATTATACAGTGTGTCCTAAAAAGTGTATACACATGAAAAAGTTTTATATATTTTTAAGTGATGCAGAATTTTTTATCAAAAATAATTATTTTACTTTGAAAAACAAAACTTTTTCTCACGTGTTTAAAATTTTTTGGAACATACTGTGTAATATATTGCGACGTACTCTTCGAGCACGTCGTTGGTAGTAATATTATGCAGTGTGTCCCAAAAAATGTACACACATAAAAAAAGTTTTATATATTTTCAAGTGAATTTTTTTTTTAAATAATTATTTTTTTTTGCCTATAAAATATATAACACTTTTTTGAACATACTGTGCAATGGATTGCGACTTGCTCTTTAACAAAGTGTATTCAGTTAACGACGTGCTGTAACAGCATCTTGTAATGTAATGAGTAATTGTTTTTATATTGGATTTTATAGAAATAGGGAAAAATGAGCTAGTGCTGGGGAATTTTAAAATGTTTGAAACTTTGCAATACGTTTAATGAATAGCATTACGATGTTGCCTATTTAATTTTTTCCCCAGATCTGGAGAAAAATCTGACCTAGTGTAGTATATTACTGCTATTACCACTTACTATGAATATAATGATATTGTTCTACACAGGCTGTAAATATTTTAATCAAACTTAATAAACATTATTTTTTTACAAAGAAAAATACAATCGATTTTTAAAAAATGAAAATAATTCCAGCTCGCATGTAACCAAAACGTTATATAAAATAAATAAAACTAAAAGCCATACATCACAAAATACGAGCTACCGTTTTCCTTCGGAAAACAACTACTCCTTTGACTAATACCACAACAGATATTGAATTTTAATATTGATATTGATTTTAATTTTGTTTCAGGACCTGGAATTCCACGGAGTCATGCGCTTCTACTTCCAGGACTCCGGGCAAAAAGTCGCCACCAAGTGCATACGCGTCGCTTCTGACGCCACGGTGGAGGACGTTATCGGTACACTAGTAGAAAAATTCAGGCCTGACATGAGGATGCTCTCAGTACCCTCGTACGCTTTATACGAACTCCACGAAGGCTGCCCGGAGAGGAAGATGTCCCCCGACGAAAAACCCCTTTTAGTGCAGCTTAAATGGCACGTAGACGATCGCGAGGGGAGGTTTCTGTTAAAAAATGCCGACGACAAGATGGTGAGTGCCGCGCCGAAAATTTTTGAGGTACTTGCTTTTTGCTTGGGGCTTTTCTCGCTTTTATACACTTTTTACAGTATTTATAGTGCATTTCCTCGGAAATTTATTAGCTTAAGCCTGATCTAATTTATATTTTACATAATGGCGGGCACAGGGTCCGTTTCTATAACGAGAGACGCATGTTAATGAAGCAGTAAAGTAGATGTACGTAATACCCTTTAACCAATGAGTAGTGGCTGATGCGTATGACGTATTTATCTGTTAGATAACTTCTTTACCAGCTGAGATAGTACAAGTTGCAGGGAGAAATGAAGGGATTTATATTGTTCAGGAATCAGTATTGTTGAATGTATTTCAACATTCTTAATGAAACATATATTAAAGTAACAAAAGAACCATTATAAATTGGGAGATACCGAGTTTTATTGTTTAAGACCACCTCTAAAGAACTAATCAAAGTTATTGTTATTACATGGCAAAATAGCGAATAAATTGACAGATTAAATGCGTATTGTTTCGAAACTAATTGTGATTAATAATTTATATATGCTGCAGTACAGTCCAAGTCTCAGATAATTGGCGGAAATTGAAGAAATATATTAGAAATGTAAATAATAATTACCTGTCATTACTTAATGGCGAATTAATATGAGATATAAAAGTAAAACAGGTGGATAATAAGTGTTGAAACTATTTGGGTTATTATTTCTACTGTATTTTGTATTATACAATTTAAATAATATATTTATTTCTTTAATTGAAAAGTATTAACTACATTAGACTAGATTTGGTTCGGTCGATGGGACATGTAGCTTCCCCCACTTCTATCTTTTCAAATATATTATATATGTTAGAATCTTATTACAAAAAACTGAATTAAAAGACACGCAAATTAACTACAAAAATAACTACATTAACCGTCAAACAAAATATATCACAATCTAATCTCCAATACTAGAAATTCGTCTTTTTATATCCCGGTATTATTCATAGGGCACTTATGTAAGTTCATGAGCTGTCGGCTATGAGAAATTCGTTTTATATGTTTTATAGGATGTCGCTGACATACAGGATGTTTCTATTATATATATATATCATTTAATTTTCTCTAGTTTAGACTCTAAAGAGACTCTTAGTTATAACTAATTGCCCTTGATTTTCTTCTCCAAGTATAACCTCAATCTTGATAGAAATTGGCTGTAACACAATTCATGTAAACATTATAAAAGAGCTGCCCGCAAAAGCATATACAGACTGTCCCAACTTATGCGTTAAAAACATATTATTTAAAAAAAATATATAGTCCAAAAATTGTATGCTGAACGGCTCATCATCGGTAAAATTATCGTACGCAGAAGTTTTTTATTACTAATTTTAGGAAAAAAAGTTATTTTTTATAAAAAGTCGAGCATGGTCTAAAACCCCCAGGGGTCCACGGGAGACTCGACGGGGTCTACGTTGGGCGTAATAAAAAATGGGGGTCCTAAAACAAAGTTTTTTTTTATTTATATACTTACACATTTACAGGTAGGTAATTGATACAACACATGGCCGAATCTAAAAAGAAGTGTCGTCAGTACAGTGTTGAATATTTAAAATTTGGTTTTCTTCCATCAAAGGCAGACAAACGATTGCCCACATGCCTTTTATGCAACAATATTTAAATGCATTTCGTTGTTAACGACGTGCTCGTCACAACCCATTACAATGTGTTCCAAAAAGTATGGATTTTTATGTGATGCAGAATATTTTATCAATAATAAATGTTTTTCTTTTGAAGAACATAAAACTTTTCTAAAATGAATAATTATTTGGGACACTCTGTATAATAGATTGCGACGTGCACAATATGTAAATGCATTTCGTTGTTAATCTATTATACAGAGTGTCCCAAAAAAATTATCCTCTTTAGAAAGCTTTATGTTCTTCAAAAGAAAAACATTTATTGTTGATAAAATATTCTGCATCACTTGGAAATCCGTACTTTTTGGAACACATTGAAATGGGTTGCGACGTGCTCTTAGAGCACGTCGTTAACAACGAAATGCATTTAAATATTGTGGTTAACGACGTGCTCGAAGAGCACGTCGCAATCTATTATACAGAGTGTCCCAAAAAATTATTCATTTTTGAAAAAGTTTTATGTTCTTCAAAAGAAAAACATTTATTATTGATAAAATATTTTGCATCACTTGAACATCCATACTTTTTGGAACACATTGAAATGGGTTGCAACGTGCTCTTAGAGCACGTCGTTAACAACGAAATGCATTTAAATATTGTGGTTAACGACGTGCTCAAAGAGCACGTCGCAATCTATTATACAGAGTGTCCCAAAAAATTATTCATTTTAGAAAAGTTTTATGTTCTTCAAAAGAAAAACATTTATTATTGATAAAATATTTTGCATCACTTGGACATCCATACTTTTTGGAACACATTGTAATGGGTTGCGACGTGCTCTTCGAGCACGTCATTAACAACGAAATGCATTTAAATATTGTGGTTAACGAGCACGTCGCAATCTATTATACAGAGTGTCCCAAAAAATTATTCACTTTTGAAAAAGTTTTATGTTCTTCAAAAGAAAAACATTTATTCTTGATAAAATATGGTCTATGAAGCAAGAGAGTTTGGGAACCTCTGGTCTAAAACCTAAAATACAACCATCAGATATCAAATTTTATCAGTAGTACATGAGGTTTGTAAAGAATAAAGGTACTTTACTCTTGAGTAAAATTTATATTGTTTGACAAACCTTGTATACGGCTCAAAAATTTATCAAATTTCAAGTTTTAGACCATGCAGAACTTTTTATAAAAAATAACTTTTTCATAAAAATAAGAATAAAAAAGTTTCCCATATGGTTCCGACTTAATTAGACACACTGTATAATAAATCACATATTAAAGTCTGGCACTGTGCTTGTTTACTGCTATTTTCTTTTGATATTGTTTTAAAAGAGAAACAGCAGATAATAAAATTAACTTCATCTGTACTTTAGTACTCTAGTATTTTTCTTATTTTGACTTATTTGATGCTCAGTGAGTTTTGGCAATGCTTCTTGGCCTGAGATTCGTTCAAAATTCACTTCTTTGCTTTGCTTATGTTCTAATGGCTGTCATTGTAACACCACAGAAGAGTTCTGCGTCAAAAAGAACCTCTGATGGTCCTTTTCCTGAGATTTGTTTAACATCGACTGCTTTGCTCATGTTCTCATGGCTGTCTCTGTGACACCACATAAGAGTTCTACGTCAAAAAAGGCTTCTGATGATCCTTCTCAGAGCTAGGAAATCACCCTCTTCCTTTACTCTTATCTCCTTCTTGACTTTGGGCTAAGGTTAGTCTGTTTTGACCACCCAGCTCTGTTAGGGCTTCCAAACAGTCCCACACAAGCAGTAGAAGCCTGCAGATATTACCCTTTTTGTAAATTCGCCCCTAGAACTCATCAGACTGATAAGTATTTAACATTCCTTGACTCATCATTATTTTTATAGTGTGAAAGGTCATACTTTTCACACAGTTATAAAAATTGTTCCACAGGACCAGTTTTTTGCTCTTTATTCTGTTTGTGATTATAGTTAGGAACCTGCAGTTCTCCAGCTATTTGGAAAAATATTCTCATTAAGATTGTATCTATATTATTTACAATTTTGTGTAAGTTATAGCGGTGATAGAAGAGTTTTAAGAGATTATTTTGTTCACAAATTACAAGCATTTTTAACTTCATGATTCCTACCTTATAAATAATGTATAGTAAACATAATAACAAAAATATATTATATTATTTAATCTGTACATTGCATTACTTAATTTAAAAAAATCTAATGAGTAAGTCTAAGCCAACTCTGGCAGATGCAAGAATGCAATTTAACGTATTTCAACTTCCAAGAAAAATATTCTATGTACACTTGCAGCATATCTACGCACACATGGTAAATTTTGAGTAATTTAAATACAAGCATCGACTAAAGTTATATTTAAACTTTTTGACATTACAAAATTAAGCTTAATTACTATTTTTTTTATCCCTAGATTTCTTTTCAGGCTGCTAATACGATGGGACCTCTCGATACTCATGCGAGCTTTAGACGAAAATTATCGAAACGAGAAAAGAAGCAGCTAAAAAAGCAAGAAAAATTATCCAAAATGAAGTTAGAGAATGGCGATGCACACGATCAAGATGGCGTTGCCGAAAAACTTTATACTGGTAAGTTAAGTTAATATTTGAAAAAAATGGAATATTTTGTTGTATGGGTTACCCCCTACGGCACTTAGGCCTCGCTAGGCTCATTGTGCATCATTCTAAGATGATAAAAATAATGTTTTTTTTTTCAGAGTTACCTGAGACTTCGTTTACTAGATCTATATCAAATCCGGAGGCAGTTATGAGAAGAAGAAGACAGATAGAATTAGAGAAAAAGTTACAGCAATTTAGATCGAAAGATGGTGGACCTGATACGGGTAAGATTTTTTGTTTTAATCAAAATTAATGTGAATTGGATGCAATATAAGTTTTTAATACTGAGGATTTAAAGTTGTCCAAACAATTTTTAGTTGGACTTTTATACTACTATCTTCGAGCACGTCGCAATATATTATACAGAGTGTCCCAAAAAAATTATTCACTTTAGAAAAAGTTTTAAGTTCTTCAAAAAAAAAACATTTATACTTGATAAAATATTTTGCATCACTTGGAAATCCATACTTTTTGGAACACATTGTAATGGGTTGCGACGTGCTCGAAGAGCACGTCGTTAACAATGAAATGCATTTAAAATCTTGTGGTTAACGACGTGCTCGAAGAGCACGTCGCAATCTATTATACAGAGTGTCCCAAAAAAATTATTCACTTTAGAAAAAGTTTTATGTTTTTCAAAAGAAAAACATTATTCTTGATAAAATATTTTGCATCACTTGGAAATCCATACTTTTCGGAACACATTGTGATGGGTTGCGACGTGCTCGAAGAGCACGTCGTTAAAAACGAAATGCATTTAAATATTGTGGTTAACGACGTGCTCGAAGAGCACGTCGCAATCTATTATACAATGTTCCTAAAAAATGTATACACTTGAAAAAAATGTTTGTTAAAAAAAAAATTAAAATTAAATATTTTTTCATGGCATATATAACGTGTGGTTAGATTATTTATTGAATGAAGTTTTCAATCGAAATATTATATAAAAACAGTCACAAATTGTTTTATTTTTTAATTCCAAGCAACAATTTCAATTAATATTAAAACTTATAAAAGTTAAGTGCTACTCTTCATTATAATATATAAATATACATAAAATATAGATAAAGATACCTAAAGATGCATAAAGATACGTAAAGAAACAAAGAATCATAAAGATCAATAAAGATACCTAATGATATCCAATGATACCTAATGATACCTAATAATACCTAATGTTACATGATGATACATAAAGATACATAAAGATGTATAAATCTTTTTTGGGACACACTGTGTAATGGATCTACTATACAATGTCTCAAAAAAATGTATACAAATTTTTGATAATATGTCGCAATCTATTATACAGAGTGTCCCAAAAATTTATAAAATAGACATTACCGAGTGTTCACTTTTATTCAATCGTTCATAAAAACCTATCTAAATGAAAGTTTACTAATTTTATGGCGCCAGCTTCACATAGCTGGTAATAAGTTTTAATTTGCTTCAACATTATCTTCTAAATTGAATGCATTCCAAAAGAAATTGTCAAATTTCCAAAATGCCTAAAGATAGTCTCTTCACAAATTCACCAACATTGAAGTACTCCAACTTATAGATAATCCGAAACTAGTACGTAGATTTAAAAGAATCAAACCCTTTGAACTTGTGTTAAGAGTAGTGACAGTGGCATACGCTGAGTTGGAGTAATTGCTTATGAGTTCAAAATATATAATTTCATAAGAAATCTTAGTTGTTAGTCACGGAATTGGAGCTACTACCAAGAAATTTTATTTCAGTCTTATAAATTAATTATTAATTTAATGGAGATATGTCGTTTTTATTAATTCACTTCACTTTCAGGACGAGCTTTGAGAAGTTCCACTTATTTATTTATTTATTTTTATTTGTTTTTATTTATTTTTATTAGTGTTATTTATTTTTATATGTTTTTATTTATTTTTTTACATATTTTTATTTACTTTTAATTATTTTTTGTTTTCATTTGTTTTTATTTAGTTTTACCTATTTTTATTTATTTATATTTGTTTTTATTTATTTTTAAATATTTTTTACTTTTTTTTATTTTTTTTTAATATTTTTATTTAATATTTTTATTTATTTTTATTTACTTTTGTTTCTGATTGTTTTTATTTATTTTTATTCATTTATTTTTATATAACTCTTCGAGCACGTCGTTAACAACAATATCCGAATACAATTCATTGCTAACGACGTGCTCGAAGAGCACGTCGCAATCTATTATACAGTGTTTTCCAATACTCTTAGTTAACAATTAAGTGATTTCAGATATTGTTGTTAATGACAGTGTTTTCCAAAAAAATTATTCACTTTAGAAAAAGTTTTGTTCTTAAAAAAAAAAACATTTATTCTTAATAAAATATTCTGCATCACTTGGAAATCCATTACATTAAATTTTTTGAAAAAAAATTTTTAGAACACCGTGCAATGGGTTGCGACGTGCTCTTCGAGCACGTCTTTAACAATAATATCTGAGCACACTTCATTGTTAACGGCGTGCTCTTCGAGCACGTCGCAATCTATTATACAGTGTCCCAAAAAAATGTATACATTTGAAAAAAATGTTTGTTTTTTAAAAAAAATTATTTTTGATAAAATGTTCGACATTACTTTGGAATTCATAATAGTTGTTAACGACGTGCTCGAGCAACCCATTACACAGTATGTTCCAAAAAGTTTTTTATAACCGAGAAAGTTTTGTTTTTTCAAAAAATTTAATGTTGTATTATGGATTTCCAAGTGATGCAGAATATTTTATCAAGAATAAATGTTTTTCTTTTGAAGAACATAAAACTTTTTCAAAAATGAATAATTTTTCGTGACACTGTATAATAGATTGCGACGTACTCTTCGATCACTTCGTTAACAACAAAGTGTATTTAAATATTGTGGTTAACGACGTGCTCAAAGAGCACGTCGCAATCTATTAAACAGAGTGTCCCAAAAAAAAATATTCACTTTAGAAAAAGTTTTATGTTCTTCAAAAGAAAAACATTTATTCTTAATAAAATGTTTTGAATCACTTGGAAATTCATAATACAACAACATTAAATTATTTGAATAAACAAAACTTTTTCTCGGGTATAAAAAACTTTTTGGAACACACTGTGTATGTATTCAAATGTTGTGGTTAACGACGTGCTCTTCGAGCACGTCGCAATCTATTATACAGTGTTCCAAAAAATGTATACACTTGAAAAAAATGTTTGTTCTTAAAAAAAAATTAAAATTAAATATTTTTTCATGGCATATATAACGTGTGGTTAGATTATTTATTGAATGAAGTTTTCAATCGAAATGTTATATAAAAACAGTCACAAATTGTTTTCTTTTTTAATTCTAAGCAACAATTTCAATTAATATTAAAACTTATAAAAGTTAAGTGCTACTCTTCATTATAATATATAAATATACATAAAATATAGATAAAGATACCTAAAGATGCATAAAGATACGTAAAGAAACAAAGAATCATAAAGATCAATAAAGATACTAAAGATACCTCATGATACCTAATGATATCCAATGATACCTAATGATTCATAAAGATGTATAAATCTTTTTTGGGACACACTGTGTAATGGATCTACTATACAATGTCTCAAAAAAATGTATACAAATTTTGTTTTTCAAAAAGAAAAACATTTATTTTTGATAAAATGTCGCAATCTATTATACAGAGTGTCCCAAAAATTTATAAAATAGACATTACTGAGTGTTCACTTTTATTCAATCGTTCATAAAAACCTATCTAACTGAAAGTTTACTAATTTTATGGCGCCAGCTTCACATAGCTGGTAATAAGTCTTAATTTGCTTCAACATTATCTTCTAAATTGAATGCATTCCAAAAGAAATTGTCAAATTTCCAAAATGCATAAAGATAGTCTCTTCACAAATTCACCAACATTGAAGTACTCCAACTTATAGATAATCCGAAACTAGTACGTAGATTTAAAAGAATCAAACCCTTTGAACTTGTGTTAAGAGTAGTGACAGTGGCATACGCTGAGTTGGAGTAATTGCTTATGAGTTCAAAATATATAATTTCATAAGAAGTCTTAGTTGTTAGTCACGGAATTGGAGCTACTACCAAGAAATTTTATTTCAGTCTGATAAATTAATTATTAATTTAATGGAGATATGTCGTTTTTATTAATTCACTTCACTTTCAGGACGAGCTTTGAGAAGTTCCACTTATTTATTTATTTTTATTAGTGTTATTTATTTATTTTTATATGTTTTTATTTATTTTGTTACATATTTTTATTTACTTTTAATTACTTTTTGTTTTCATTTGTTTTTATTTAGTTTTACCTATTTTTATTTGTTTTTATTTATTTTTAAATATTTTTTACTTTTTTTTATTTTTTTTTAATATTTTTATTTAATATTTTTATTTATTTTTATTTACTTTTGTTTCTGATTGTTTTTATTTATTTTTATTCATTTATTTTTATATAACTCTTCGAGCACGTCGTTAACAACAATATCCGAATACAATTCATTGCTAACGACGTGCTCGAAGAGCACGTCGCAATCTATTATACAGTGTTTTCCAAAACTCTTAGTTAACAATTAAGTGATTTCAGATATTGTTGTTAACGACAGTGGTTTCCAAAAAAATTATTCACTTTAGAAAAAGTTTTGTTCTTCAAAAAAAACATTTATTCTTAATAAAATATTCTGCATCACTTGGAAATCCATAATACATTAAATTTTTTGAAAAAAACTTTTTAGAACACACCGTGTAATGGGTTGCGACGTGCTTTTCGAGCACGTCTTTAACAATAATATCTGAGCACACTTCATTGTTAACGACGTGCTCTTCGAGCACGTCGCAATCTATTATACAGTGTCCCAAAAAAATGTATACATTTGAAAAAAATGTTTGTTCTTAAAAAAAATTATTTTTGATAAAATGTTCGACATTACTTTGGAATTCATAATAGTTGTTAACGACGTGCTCGAGCAACCCATTACACAGTAGTTCCAAAAAGTTTTTTATAACCGAGAAAGTTTTGTTTTTTTTTTAAATTCAATATTGTATTATGGATTTCCAAGTGATGCAGAATATTTTATCAAGAATAAATGTTTTTCTTTTGAAGAACATAAAACTTTTTCAAAAATGAATAATTTTTCGTGACACTGTATAATAGATTGCGACGTGCTCTTCGAGCACTTCGTTAACAACAAAGTGTATTTAAATATTGTGGTTAACGACGTGCTCGAAGAGCACG